GATAACAAAGGAGACTTTACAAAGAGCCTGGATGAGGCAACACGATTAACATATTCAATTTGGTTGAAGTGAGCCAGATGGAATGTAAATGAATTACTTGATTTTTAAAAAGGGGGAAAGGAATTGGGCATTGGTTAATGAAATAGCAACTTCCATGGGCTGGATTATGCCAGGACATTCCAGTGTTGAAAAGTCTTTTGTTGTTGTGAATGAAGTCTTTCTGCTTTTGAGAACCCTGAGCTGGGGAGAGTGCACTTAATCAGTTTGTAATGCCAGGACACCCGACCTCTTTCCTGGGCCTTCATGGCTTTACCCAGGTGCCTTTATGAGACCCTCCAGGTTTCAGGTCTCCTTTGCACTTAGCCTGTAAAACAGTGACATCCAAAATAAGATGGGAACACCACTAACTAAGAAGAACTCTGCTGGAGCAGTGGGTTGGGTTCTTACATGGGTTTTCTTAAAAAGCATGTGTTCGTAAGGCTTTGGGTAGCTAAAATTTTGCTCAAGAACAGTATGAATGCTTACATCAATTTGGTGAGACGAGGGTTTGACTTAACCTCTTCTAAAGCACATCTGAATAATTGTGATTTTAATTTTCACCCTATGCAGATCTGACAGCCCGCTTGTCCTGGGTAAAATGGGACTAAGAGATCCACCAAATAAGAAAGAGCACCGGGTTCGGCAAAGGATCTACTCACCTATCATCAGCTTTTAGATTCTCACCGTTGGCAAAATAAAATTCTAGGAAGCAATCCTGTGCACGGTTAGAATGCACAAATAAAATTATCTTCATTGTTGTTAGTCAACCACTATCCCCCCCACCTTCCCACCTTTTTTTCTTAGCACCTGCATGCTCTATTTGGTCTTTGCTTCATTTTTAACAATCTGCCTTTCTGTGGTAGTTGACTGTATCTTTTTCTTAGCATAATTATGTTAGCATAATCTCACAGATGATTATAGAGCCAATTTCCATTAGAACTGGGCATCATTAGGAATATTGTGGCCCATAAAGGACTAAAGTTATCCATCTGTGCAGTCGTAATAATAAGCTATATACATATAGGTTGTTTCCTGCCATTACCACTGGCAATTGTTAAAAGGCACATAACTAAAAGGTGGAGAGTAGATTGCAATGTTTAGAGCTGAGAATTACTACCTTTCCTTTCCCTGTGACTTAACAGCCTACAAGCCATACGTTGGAGTATTTTATGAGTAATTTGCAGCTGCATAGATGAATATGGCTAAATCATGTGCACTTTGTCATCTTGCCTGATAGTGAAATCTTTCTGTTCAGAAATATTCTGCAGACGGTTAGTCCAGGGAGTAATATATTGGTTGCGAAGTGAATTATAATGGGCAGCTAAAAAGCATACGAGCAATTAAGTCAACTTGATCCTTACCATTCTCAGGGGGGATTTATTGAAACGATCCTTCATCTCAGCAGAAGGTAATGCATTGCATCTAAGTAACATGAAACATCGGTGATATTTTGGGACTGTTAAAATAAATATTTAGACAATTCAAATATTGTCTGATAAGATTGCAGTAAAGATGGTAGAGCATTAGGTTCACAGAGTGATAATCGTAACCTGATAGCATGGTACCATGCTACTGTTGAAATCTGAGGGAGTCTGAGTTCCAGCTGCACCATGGCCAAGTCAGGGCTATTTTTGGGCAGGAACACACAGGAACGGAGTTCCGGCTGGCTCCCGAGTTGGCCACACCCAGCAGGAACTCATTAGCATAATAGGCCACACCCAACAGCAGAAACTCATTAGGATTGGCTACATTAGGGGTGTGTGGCCTAACATGCAAAGGAGTTCCTGCTACAAAAAAAACACCCTGTGTTTTGTCAACAAGGTAAACAGAATAAGAAGCAAAAGGTTACTTCTGGTAAAATGGGGGTGTGGCCTAATATGCTAATGAGTTCCTGCTGGGCTTTGTCTACAAAAAAAGCCCTGCCAAGGATACATTGGGAGGAAGAGAAAGGAACTTATGGAAGAAGGTTTTCTGGAGCCTATCAAGAGGATCCAGTGGTTCATGGACCCGGATTGCGGCAGCATAGAGCAATCTGGAAAAAATGATGGCCTTATATAACTTTAGCAGAAGAGGGATAAATTGGCCACCGTTGGTATAAAAAACAATTCTTGAGAGTGGTTAATGTCATTTGGGTCTTATGACATATAGAACACATCCTGCAGAACAAGGGTGTCGAACTCATTTGTTATGAGGGCCAGATCCGACATAAATGAGACCTTGTTGGGCCAGGCCATGTGTGTCATAAAATGTAATGCCAGGAAGCGGAGATATAAACTTTATAAAGGCCACAGACAAATACAATTAAAGAAGACTTTTTAAAACTTTAAATAAAACATGCTTAAAACACTAGCACTCTTGCAATATTTTGTCTATTTAACCATCTCTGATAACTGACACCTCTTGCTCTGAATTACTGCATCAAAATGTCTGTGTTGTAGCAATTTTGAGTATGCTGTTCAGGTGTAATGGTTTTGTTATCTTATGTTTTTTTTTAATAACAAAATAAGTAAATAATAGTAATTATTTGAAGAATTTTACTTTAGAAATTACTTCATACCAACATTACAAAGGTTGACAAATGGTACATTAATAAATGTAAAGTATTTAATTTTATTTAAAAATATGTCTATATAGAGCTTAATTTCTGTTGTAATCGTTTTTCCTTCTTAATAAAGTTTGTTGATAAAATGGTCACTTTTATTTCCTGCATTTTCCCTTCCAAGCCTTTACACTCAAGAGCATTAAAGTCCTCTTCATACAGGCCACTTTTGTATAGTAATGAAGTAATTTACTAATAACATAGCAAAATTATTTGAGTAGGAATAAGGCCCATTGTGGAAATAAATAGAGACTCTAGAAAGAAGCTCTGGGAGAGTGCCCCGGCCTTATACACTCAGTGTCAATTTGCTGTGGCGACCTCAGCAGGGTATAATGACACTGAGTCCACCATTTTCTCCAGAAGAATTGATCTCTACTACCTGAAGAGCAGTTGTAATTTTGAGTGATCTTCAACCCTCCCCTGGAGATTGGCAACAATGGTTCCCCAGGAGGAAATGGCTGGTTTGGAGGGTGGAGCCTATGGCATGTCCCTAAGGTCCCACCCCTCCTCAAACCCCACCCTCTCCAGGCTCCACCCCTCAAATCTCCAGGAATTTCCCAACTGGAGCTGGCAACCCTATCTCCTTCCCAGCCAACCATCAACCCACTGTTACCTGCCCCTCTGACTTCAGCTTTCCACCCCACCCCCCTGCAGCCTCTACCCTGCTCTGAAGCCCTGGCTGCTACGTGACACTGGCTGTCATGGGAGGGGGGCATCTCAGCAGCTCCTATAAGGACACAGCATCCACCATTTTCTCCATGGGAGCTGATCTCTGCCATCTGAAGAGCAGTTGTAATTCTGAATGATCTCCAGCCCTCACCTGGAGATTGGCACTGATGGTTCCCCAGGAGGAAAAGTACAGTCTTTCTCTGCAGTGGGGCCCAAAGCAGCTTACATGGACAACATACCTGAGGGACTGCCTTTCCCCACATGTTCCCCAGAGACTACTGCGTTCAAGAACACAAAACCTCCTAGTGCTCCCTGGCCCTAAAGAGGCCAGACTGGCCACTACCAGGGCTAGAGCCTTTTCTGTGGCAGCGCCGCGCAGGTGAAACGAGCTCCCTGAAGGACACCAGTGCCCTGTGGAACCTACTTCAACAATAGCTACTCAATAGAGGAGTAAACTTTCTCCAAATATTTCTATGTGGCATTAAAAAACACAGGAATCCTATTTCATGGCAAAAATAACAGATAATCTCATTTTAGCTCCTTCATATCCCCCCCTAGCTTTGTTACAATATCTTTTCCTATACTGGAATATTTAGTAAACCAAGGAGAGATTCCAAATGAAGTTGAAGAGTTGCAATTACGGCAATGTTGTTGATTAATCGTAAATGACTGTAACATTCTAATGAAGCTGCAATTAGATTGATCTACTGATTTATTCTACTCTGTGTTTTAATTCGTGAAATATGTAAATCGAAAATTCTCTCGACTATGTTATATTGTTTTTTCTTCACATTTAAAAATAAAAAAGTGTTATGTAAAGAAAAGAACATCTTACCAGTCCAGTGCTCGGCTTTCTTCTCACGTTTCAGCTTCTGCACTGCACTGTCATTCTATACGTGGCCCTTCTTTGACCAATTATTACAGTTGTGTGTGAGAATGAGTGGATGCTGAGGTCACAAAACTAATTCAGTTTCTCATTTTGACGACCTTCCAAAACAACTGTACAATCCAAGCACTGCTAATCTTTAGGAAAAAATAGTTCATTTATTATTTTATATAAAAAATAACATATAATACAAATTACATTTTATGATGTTCATTCTTTTTTTACCCACAAAGTATATGTTTATTTCTTCTAATGCAACCAGTCCTCACCACATATACAGATCCGTTCAGAAGCACGACAGGATATTTCAGATACCGAACTAAGTTGCAACTGCACGATTGTCCAAATGCAGCGGCCGCTGTATGTACCAAGTGTTTTGAAGACAGACTGCAGGAACCGTACGCCTAACATCTATGCTGATGCCTCACGGCAGTTTCCCCAAATTACCTTCTGTGTACTGTTTCCTAAAATCGGATTTTAGTCCAAATGGGCTGATCAGAACTTTGCCACATGGCAAGGGCCTACTTCTGAAGTGCTTCTTGTGGCAGCACTTTAGGGTGGCCTCTTCACAGTCAGTGGGATCCTAGCGGTCAAAAGCAAGAACCAAGACTCTGCCAGTCAGCACGCACAGAGGCAGACAGTAGGTGCTGCTCAATAAATGGCTCAGGCAACTATCCCTAGGCCCTCTTCTGTCCTTCACAATAGATTCTAAGCAAGTATGTTATGTGGCTATCCGCGATATTGCAACACATCCCCACCCCGATTTCCTGCCCCCTCCAAAATCTGTCCAAAGTGCAGAAGTATCAGTATACAATCCTCCTGCACAGCATCTAGTAAACCATCAGGGAAATGTCTTTGGAAAAGTGAGACGGTAGATCCACAAGTAGAAAGACCGTGGAGGGGCCGTGAAATCTCACGCACTAGAAAAAGCGTTCACAATGCCAGATGCATTAACTGAAATGATGGTGGAACTGCAGAAGCATTAACATACTTCCAAACTTCACACAGTGTACAATGTTTGCGTCAGATTGCAGACGACTTGAAGCTAACAAGCATAACACAGGCTCGTCAAAAGTGCATCGGGGGGGCATACGCAGGAAGACGTGATGCATGCAAACATCCCCACCTGCCAGCAAACTGATCGCTAATTCTCTCGTAACGCTTTAATGTAAAAACATACATGACCAAATTTAAGTGGGGAAAATACGTTTAAACTAGTTCTTTCCAAGTAAATGAAGGCAACGCGCATGAAAGTTGCGTGTTAATCAACAGCTTTCCCCCCCTCTTCTGTGACACGGCTTGTACTTAAATCTACGATGGTTATAGGTGACTTTAGAAAGCAGCATTAAAGAGAACTTTGTGTCTTGATCTGCAAGGATTTCTTTATAAGTTTGCTCAATGGGCTTGCCAGCCTAAGGACATGTTTCAGCCACTTCAACTGTAGCCTTTCCAAAGTCAAATAAATAAAAGTAGCAGAATAGTTTCTGTTTGCTTGAAATGTCTCAGATTCACCAGCAATGAAAGGCGTAAGCTTGATCAGCAGGTATCCAGGAAAGTGACCTCTGCAGACAGGAGAAAAAGCTACCACGCTAGAGTTAAAATGAATGTTTCCCACTTAACGAACGGTCAATTTCAGCTACATAGTGCCACTAACATAAAGATAGGAATTTGAAATCGTATATGCAATGGTTTAATTTGCATACAAGGCGACTTTGTTTCTTTCCCTCTTATATTCAGTACAGGGTGGGAAAAGAGTTCCAGCTCTTTATTCTAACGTTCACTTTCTTGAGTTGATATTAAGAATCATCTTCCGAATTTTTTCATCATTCCTCAAAACAGTGGCCCTTTTAGCACAAATCTTATCTTGCTCATCTTTGATCAACTGGTCCAGCTCCACAAGTTTTGCCTTCAGTGGTTCCACAGCACTTTCGGTGATGCTGAAAGGGACATAATCGGCAAATTACTCTTTGCAGAACGATCATGAAACAGGTTTGAAGCAGAGACAAATCAAATGCCCTCAACACCTGCACGCAAATAATTACCCTGACATTTTGTCTACGGCATGAAGTTTGGAGAGAAAGAGTTCCCATAAAAACTTATATTGAATTAGCGGTATTCATGTCAAAAATTAAATTTTCATTTTGTTTAGTTTGTTTTTAAGGGCATGTTTTTTTCATTTCCACAAAATTTGGGCAGGGTGTGTGTGATACTGTTTCACGAATTTGTTTTCCCCATCAGGAACATTGGCAATACATGTACTATCTTGTGTTTTTGAAGAGCAAAACTTTTTTAAAATTTTTTAAAAACAGGACATCTGAGAAGAAACTCCTAATGTTTATTCATGTGACACTCTCCTCATAGCATCATGATGAGATGACCAACAAGACTTTAATTGGCTAGACCGGAGGTCTATCTTATATTTTTAATGAGTCTAAGTTTTAAAATGTGTACACCTGAATAAATTTTGTATTTTCATAATATTTAGTGTCAGCTTAACCATTGTGGATCCATAGCAACTTTTTGGGTTGAGTTTTCTTCCCCCCCCTTTTCTCCTTCCCCCTTCCCTTCCTTTTTGTTCCCAACAAGACAAAGAGCCATCCTTTCAAGAACTGATGCCAATCCCATGCTTACAACAGTAAAGTCTGCAAAGTTTGAATGCAATTTATACAGACAATCTCATTGAAAAACCATCAGCTTAAAGTATTTTTAAAACCCTGTAAAATGGAAGGGCGGGGCAGTCTGAACCTCTGGAAAAAGAAGGAGGAGGAGGAGGAGAAGATTGGATTTATACACCGCCCTTCACTCAGGGTCTCGGAGTGGCTTACAAACTCCTTTCCCTTCCCCTCCCCACAACAG